AACATCAGACATGTTGCACGTATGTTCTTACACGAAATCAGTACTTTAATTTTTCAGTGTAATTTTATAGCACTAATGCAAACGCAGTAAAGCGATAAGCATTGGCAAGAGGTTAGCTTGCTCGATTAGTTACTTTTAATGAACGTTTCAGTCCACAAAATCATTATTGACCACTTAATGAGATGCAGGTTTGCTCAAAGAAATTGAAAAAACTTATTAGCCACGTGTATTGGAGTCTAGTGTTTTTTATTTATCCAGTCAAAAACCATTTTAGAGTTATTTTGTTATTCTGTTATTTATTTCAAATGGAGACTAGTGGATTCTGTCTTCATTCATAATATTTTGATTTCAAATCGGAATAGCTCTACGTTCCAAGAACAATAAGTTTTGACATGTAATGAAAATATGGATTGTAGTAAATGTGAATAATCAGGTTTGGGCCTGATACATAACGTTCATTGTATTATTATTTACACTTTCAAATCCTACCGATGTCAACTATACGAATTGAAGATCAGCTAATCTAAAATTGGAAGTGTTTTTATTTTTATGTTATTCATTGGTTCATAAATTTATCAGTCGTAATATTAAAAAAAACTGTTACTTAAATTTACACTTACCAATGCTAGGGTGTCCAGAGTCCATTATGTACCATCTATAGTTAATGAGCAATGAAAATGAATTTCTAATATATGAGCTATAATTACGTTATCAGTTTTGGTTATTATCTTGCAAATGTAAGCCAGCTGAAAATACATAGTTCATCATGGTTTGATGAAAATTTACTTGAGTGTTAGTTAAGCCGACCCTAATATTGTTGTAATGGTGAGTTTATCTAACTAAGTAATTGTCAACTTCTCATCATATAATTCTACATTCATAACGATTGTTGCTTAATATTTTCACTATGAAAAGCTATAGTAACCATTTTAAGGTCAAAAAGAATTTCGATAACATCAACTGATTTTAATCAAGCATAAATTGAGTTTGTAATCACCGATGGAGTGTGATCACAGTCTTAGAAATCAGTGGTAAGATTCAAACAGGTAGTGCAGATGAATCAAACGTTACCACTTTACACAGGCCAATGGCTATCTGGACTCAGTACCTAAGTGGATAGCGCAGTGGCGCTTCAGGAGAGTAGGACCGGATTGAAGTCTCGGAAAGAACACTCACACTGAAATGTTGGCACATCCAATTAACCGGACCTTGATCCCACTGCTAGCTATTATCCATCTCTGTTTATAGTCTTTGTGACTTAAGACAATATTGAGGCTACCCGCACAGCATACAAATATGTCAAAAATAGACTGTTCAATTTCAGTTCTAAACATCAATGGAAAGATTCAGATGACCAATATAAACGAGTAAAATGATTATTTTGCGTAATTTGTTACTAAAATTTTTGAAACAACTGCTACTTGTCAATCAGTGCAAATAGTAAAAATATCGATATGAGAAATCGATTACGAAAGTACTTGAGGAATATATGTTCCAGACATTCGATAGTGGAGACAAAAGATAAACGACGAAAAGGAATGCATGTGAACTGGAGTATCAGATACAGTCAACTCTCGGTAATAATTAGCTCAGTCGTTATAAGCACGAAAGCGATACAAGTAAATAAGCAAACACATATGCACTAGCAGACACACATTTATAAAATGTGACCAACGAAGCCTTTGGGTCAATAACGAGTTCACATTTATTAGTGATAGGACAATTAGAAAAATTAGAATAATTTATTTACGCAAAGATTAGAACAAACTACTTATTTTGTGCTAATAGAGATTTATTACAATGCAACCATACGCACAACTCATCAGTTCACGTGGGCGAGGAAATCCAAAGATTGATAATGTAATAGACACCTCTACCTCTTCAGTGATAAAGTTTTGTATCAGTATGACTGTCATGACTCCACGGTGACACTCCTTGGTTAATTGTGTTATCGACTTTCATCAATTCATTCATAGAACTAAATTGCGGCTCTCACAGTTAACGATCCTGTTTAGACAACTTCATCGTACCGTCTATTCTTGTTCTGTGCGACTCTTAGTGACTGTGGCAACAATCATCAGTTTTTTACACGTTACTATCGAATGACCGATAAATTAGTGACTTGAAATCATAAATATCTTTGTCTTCGGCTGTACTTCTGCACTCTTTGTGGTGCTGTGAAATAAGGATATACTTTTTAAAAACATTTATACAAGAAAAACCATCAATGACAATGGCAGACATACTGCTTCCAGCCAATGGGGGTATGATCAATTAAACTAACTCGTGATACACCAATTGTGCTACCGCTCTAGTATCATTGTTTCTAATGAATTCCTTATTTGTGCTATTTTTACAAAAAATATCAATCACTTTTCACTGCCATATATTTCAATGTTACATTTAAGAGCTGTTTAAAAGTTATATCATTCTTTACCATTATCACCACAAACAATCTTATATCCTTACAAGCTGTACATCATTCTTAATCATGTCAGAAACCTAAAATTCTTGGATTTATCAGTACTTGCTTTTGCGCTATTGCTTTTCGTTTCTTTCTTCCTTTCGATTTTTCGGCCTAACATTGCCAGAGAGATTCTCATGGAACTTTAAATAACTTCCGTTGTGCGACTACCACCGACACATTTGGTAGCGACTCAAACGGTTTTGAATCTGAATAGACATTATTGTATGGTCAGTAAGTTTCACAGAACCCCAGCCAAGCGATACTTCATGCTTACCATTCACTCGTCGGATAACAAATAACTGGGCGTTGGAGAGTTTGTCAAGCCTCGTCAAGGTCATAGACAAAGAACACCGAATAATCACTTACCCTCGATGCGCAGGCAAGATAGCCGATTCTTCCAATGATCAGGTCGTGGGAAGCTACGTTTGTGCTCGATCATAAAGTGTGACTTCTACCCGAAATACGAGGCCCGACGTTTGCCATTCATTTCGGAGGTCACCTACAAATGAATACGGCTATGGAAAACTTTAAATTTGCCAATTGATCAGATCTTGTTTAAGCTATCAAAGTATGCTTACAGACTGGAATAAGCTAGTAAGGTTCTAATAATTATGCCGGAAATTATATTCTAAGGTTGGTACGAACCCAACGTTTGTAGCGACCTTCTGCATAATGCCAACAAATGAACTTGATACAGCTTGCCACCACGAGTGTGACGTCACATTTGATAACAAGAGGAAGTAAAGACAAACTCGGAGGAAATAAAAGGCATGACAGACTTCATAAAGGGGGAATGTCAATTTCGCCACCTACTTCAATCGTTTGAAAAAAGTTCGTTGAGAATTTTGAGTGAAATAAACCAAATTTTTAAGCGAAATATGTCATTCGTATAAATATATAGACCTTTGGGGAAATGAACTGGAGTCAACAATTATACCAGTTCACTTGGTGCTGACAAATGGGAAAACACACAGCCTGCACTGGCACTATTGATTACTGCGAAACTATCAGAATGCCACCAAATGGCCGAGAAATTTCAAGTCGGAGCAAATCGCGATATCTTGACAAGTCTATCTGCTCACTAACTTAACTATTACCATTAGAACAAAATAAATTCTTTACTAAAGTTTGAGCAGGAGCGGATTCCGCAAATTTACTGATGACCATTCCTGAGCAAGCTGAAGAGTATAAATTAAAGGACTTAAAAAGAATAATGGTCCTTTAAAGTTTTATTCACGATACGTATGGCTTGCGATAACTCAGGTGATTTGAGGGGGACGATCTTTTGACCTGTTGAGGTAAGATTTAGCTCTGGAACTAACTCAGTCACAACAATAACGTTTCGCCTAATGACTAAAAGCCATGTATAAATTTTGAAAGAGTGAATGAATTAATTGAGATTATAAAAGCCCATGACACTACTGAGCAGTCAACTCGATTCATTAGCGCTGGGAAAATGAGAATAACTAATGGTAGTTGACGGAAAATAACATTATTAACGTAAACATAGTATATATAATTACATCCTATCAGTTAAAACAGCGGTCATCGAAATGGAACTATGAAGCAGACTAAACCAAGCCCACTATGAATTATAGGATCAACAAATCCTGATAATAATACTTATATCTCTTGGGTGCATGAATCTGAATGGTTGCTTAGTTTTTTTGCTGAGATTTTAAGTTTTGGTTTTGATGTGAACCGTTCGCTCTCATTCATTGTCAACGAATGAAAAAGACAATGTTAAAGCGATATAGTTATGAATATGAAGTTAGACATTAACACCGGTGGATGCCGGCTCAGCGGTCAAGTGGTTAGGTGCTCGCGCGCGAAGCCAGTAGGTTCTGTGTTCGAGCCCCGCGTGGTGCGGGATCGTGGATGCGCACTGCTGAGGAGTCCCATACTAGGACGAAACGGCCGTCCAGTGCTTCCAGGTTTTCCATGGTGGTCTAGTTTCAATCGAGTCATGATTTCAACCTGTGGAATATGATCTCTGTTAATGACTTCCTTATTTTAGCTAGACTTCGAGAGGACTAACACGTTGTGAACGCAATCAGTGAAATACTACCCGCTCGGTGTTGTCGTAAAACAACAAATTTTTTAACCAGTAAAATGGTTTCCAATCCAACCGCTCGGTGAATATAACATAGTCTCTTTCTTAACATATTGGTCGACGGTGTTATATCTGGACAAGGATTAACAAGCAAAAATCGCAACACATAGGGTGTCAGATATTTTTCATTCTACCGCCTTTTAAACTAGTATTCTCACGTTCATCTAACAATTGTTCTTTTAATTTCATTTTGCGACACAATGACATCTCATTTCTATGTTTCCGTAGAGAGACAGTGGTTCATCAATGCTTTGAAAGTGATCACTTCATGGAAATGTTGTTAATGGAGCAAAATCGTTAGAACTCGTGTAGTTTGTTTAAGTCTATCAATTAGTTGTACAATTCTAAGGGTCCCCGTCAGCGCTTAGGATCTAAGTGATGTTGAATTCTAGGAATATAGACCACTGAGATTTTGACCTTATGGCAGCAAAGTCGAAAAGGTTACTGAAAGTTATAGATGGAATACGTTCTTGGAATATTAGCTCGTCTCAGCCAAATTCGTCGCCAAAGTCAGCCATTGAAATCGACGAGTATTTAAAGAGTGAACATTTCCAAGTTGGAAAGGTAGATATTTATTTTCTGAATGAAAATAATGTCCTCATAATCGTTTTCTATTGATATCTATTTTCAGATCTCTGTGCATGGTTTTCCTCACCAACCAACTTGCATCGCTTTTGATCCCGTTCAACGAATTGTTGCTGTTGGAACGAAGTGTGGGTTCATCAGAATGTAAGTTGTTCACATATTATTACATGCTTGGGATAGTTTCGGAAGACCAGGTGTAGACTGTAGCATCTCTCATCCCTCAGCATCTGCTGTCCTTCAAATATTCTTTCTCGTCAACGAGGTAAGTCACTCACATTGAATGCACATATGATAACCTACCGTCACGAGACGTTTTACATGAACAATCTGTATGGGATTCCAAATTTCTTATAAAAGCATGGGCTGTAAATTCTAGACTATAGTCATGCGTAGCTTACAGCATTATATGCGTTTTGTTTGTTTCTCGAACTACCTAGATGTTTGATTTTATGGAAACAAGTTTTCACTTTTTAATATAATGATAGCACTCATTCTCAGTTCTTATTCAACTTCCACGTATATGCCATAAACCACGTCGCTGAATGTGACTCAAATACTATTTTAAGATCCTTAGTTTATCCCATATTTCTCAGTAGCAACATTAAGGTTATTAAAGTATATGTTAAGGAAACAGAAGTTTTACTAGTAGCAGTTTCACAGCTATCTTCCTCATCTTGAGCTATAAGTCATCTTTCAGTTTAAGAAGAGAATTGTACTTCCTCGGTTGTTTCTTATTGTTATGCGCAACAAACAGTAAATTGAACTTGTGGCGAGACTAAAATTTATGGACGAACTAATCAGATATAAGATAACGAGTCACGAATTTGGCGCGGATTTCATCAATACATTTGGCTAAATGGAGTTTTGTCATTACAGTTCGTGATGAAAACCCTAAGTCTAATTTTTAACCCTTACCATCGACTTTGAATGAGAATTCTAACTGCTTTATAACCGTTATTTAGTCCTAATTGGTAGTTGTTCACCCTCAAGGTCACTTCAGTGTCGCTCAGAGGTCGTCCATAAATTATAGTCTCACCGAACTTGTTCTTGAGGTTCGAGCCTGCATAAAAGTGTACTTCATCGTACATGCATGGTTTAAAATAAGTTGTGGTGTCCCTTTCTGTATTGGTTCATTAAATTACGATCATACTGTTACGTTAGTTGCCCTTACCATGTGTTTATTGTTAGTTGGGAGTGAGATAGAACTTAAAATTATATCATAAAACAGCAATTTAAATTCTCATTTTTCTAAAATGGGGATTTTACTTATTTTCAAATCATTTCAAGGGTGGATTGGTTTCCATTTGTGGTGACGACGTTGCACACTTGTGGAACATACGACAAAAGAATCCAGAAATAGTACACTCTTTACAGTTCAAACGTGAACAGTAAGTTAAATGTGTGTGATGTGCTAACTAGCATATTTATATATTTTACTCATGTTGTAACATTTTGTAGGATAGCAATAATGTTGATTGTCATATAGTAATTATTTTAAGTAGTCTTTTAATCTTTAGTTTCTGTCATCAAATCGTTTCGTCACTCCACCTGTTTTTTTTACTCCGTGGTCTTTTAGGCATACGTACTAATTGCATAAATGGTTTACTTGAAATTGATCTTAGATTGGCCTATACATTGTTACGTTTACGCAGTTTCTATCATGAAGAGATAGTACAGGTGCAAAAAATGTTGTAGAGCCAAGACTGAAAGCATGAAAACAATAAGTTGGCGGAGTAGTAAAGTGGATGACTGTGTAGGTTGAGATTGATTTCGAATTGTATCACTTAATTTTCTCGAAATACAGATTTTGTAGAGTTAGCTTATGCAATAAACTGCTACATTTTTTATATGGCTCCAAAATCAACCTATATCATTGACTATTATTGATAGTGGAACTAATGCTAGTTGATTTTCATTACTAGTGTTCCCTCCAACATCTTGCTTAAAACATTAGAATGATGTGTTTTACATTAGTATGTAAAGGTGAACCGTAGATTAGCTGACTTCTTAGAACTTGTTTTACATGTTTTTGAATATCCCTGCTCGTATTCAGAGTAGTATAGTTTTTCTATATATCTAGACAGGTGTCAGCTACATATTAATAAATTTTGAGCTGATTCTATCTTCAAAATGTCTTACGCGTTCTGGGTGGCAATATGAACACCTGTCAGTTATGTAGGAACTATTTCTTACGTTCAGACTTCTTTCTAAGCAAGACAGCCCCAGTCTTATTTCGAGAGAGAATCGCGCGTTAGGGTTACATTGTCTGATGAAAGTATCAGCCTACCAAGGTCAACAGTATTTTACTGATATATTTTCTAAACCTTCATAACTTTCCAAGCTGTTAGACCGTGTGATAAGACTGAATAATGATTGCCGCTGAAGTTTGAATTAGATGTTTTGCCTTTTACCTAGTTTTAGCTTCAGTTTCATTTATTTGCGTAGACAAGTTGATGGATCATCAGGGACCGTATGATATGGTTTTACATTGCGCTATAAAAAAGTAAAGAAATAAATATTTCGATCGTATAGGGAAGCTTAAGAGTTACATAGTACTACATCAGTGTTAGATTAGTTTCGTGGTCTATATAACTCAGTAAAATTTTGTATGGTCATATTTTTAATTTATGTTCGTGGCTTCAAATGCCGGGGCTCGATTGGTACTATTTAATGATAACAGTGAGTAGCGAGTGTAGTGAGAAGGAATTTGGATTCATCCCACACATATATTTGTACTGTCTGCATTTGCTGGAGTGGTTCTAGTACCTGTAACCGACACCTCTGAGGAATGTAGGATTTAGTCGTCCAACTGTGTTTTAGATGGGTTATCACTAAATCGATAAAATTAAAAAATAGGGTTATGTTTTGTCGTTAAGTTCACGAAATCTATGATCATCGATGGCGTCGGTTTTGGAGTTTGTTTGATTGGGACTCTTGAGCCGCGCAATTTCTCGAAAGTCAGTCAGAAAAACATTAAGAAATGTGTACTATTTATCACGGATGGTCTTCAATTTCTGGCAATAAATAATAAGAATAAGAAATGTTTATTAGAATTATTTACTGCCGTAAAGTCAAGACGATCTGTGACAATTGGCGCACATTTCTTAATGTGTTTTCCTGACTGAGTTTTGGGAAATTGAGGGGCTCAAGAGCACCTGTCAAATATACTTCAAAGCCGAAGCCATTGATAATCTTGATGCTTAGAACATTGTTAATTCCACGCATAACTAGTAAGACAAATTATAAGAATATTACGTTACGAAGTTTTTGAGTAAGTCTCTTTAGACTTCACATTATCCAGGTCATCAATAAAATGCCCTGGCTTCTATTTCTTTATCTCCCATATCATTATTTTGTGTCATGTTTTGGTGCCGTATATGTACCAAGTTTATGTTTTGAATAGACAGTAGATAAAGTGTGACTTTTCTCCTGGTCCCCCTCACAGTGCTATTCCCTATACTGCGAGAATCAGTGCTCTTGATTTCATCACAATCCAGTCACCTTTCCTCACGTGGTTGAACCTCAATGAACAAGCATTCCAGCCAGTGTAGCTCGGGTGGGTCGGGTAGTAATTAAACCTGACTACTGCATCAAGTGGCCAGGTATAATTTCTGGTTTAATTTTTTAAATGTAAATCTAGCTGATTTTTATGAATTGTTGCATAAACGACAAAAGGTGAACTTGTGGAGTAGGCATACAACCATGACAACAACTATCCGTTATTATGTGCTGTGTTTTATTCAGTATACTTCAAGAACTTGTCCCTCACATAACGATGTTTGAAGAGGACCTTATTATGAACAACAGTTTTCCGTTGTGCTTTTGACGTCGTTTGAAAGGTTTGCGCAGAAAAAGCACTTTTTAGTTCAGTCCAAAATTATGTTCATTTACACTTCTACAATAAAAGCCTCAGCTTCATTTCTTACAACACTGGTCATTTGGTTTGATGTCTAAAAATATGATTCGTTTTTACGTTATATCTCCGTGAACCACCTAGGCAGGAGTGTTAAGTAATTGTTTCTCGTCTTTTCAACATTCATATGCTCCTGTGAATGCTGGTGTGACACAATACCCACCAAAATAATTATGCTTTCCACTTTGAATATTGAAAGAATACAGGTGTATTATCGTGAGTTAACCGGCGTGGGAACTTAGCTTTGACATTAACAGACGAATATCTCATCTAAAATCTTTTAATATCTAGCAACTACATTTCTGAAGTATATTAATGTGCTGGCTCACCAAAGAGGTTGATCAAAAACGAGAATGTTTTCGGTTATAACCAGATGCAGTAAATTCGGCATGATTGTACCTTGAGGTTTTTGTGAAACATTAATTAGTTAGTACTCATTCCAAACCAGTTTTGTCGTCTTACGAACCATGTAAAGATGCTCCTTTCTCTTGTATGCTGATTGTTTCATACAAACCTTGTGCATGTTATTCATAAACACAACACCCGCCAATTCTGTTTTTAGAAACGGCTTGTTTTATTGATTTCATTTAATCAGTAATTGGTTTGTTACTACCATCATGAAGTTTCATAATATTTTTTGCATCTATGTAGTTGTGAAATAGTTTTATATCCTATAGTTTTCCATTTACCGGTGACCACATTTGACGTTATTTTATGTTTTAGTTTTGATAAAATATTTTTGATTTAAGTCAAGTTGTCTGTGTATACAGTATTATCATCATAATGTTATTACTTCAGTTTCTACGTTTCATGTCCGAATTTTTTAGATTCATTACTTTTATGTACCTACACTGTCGAACAGTAGTTCACTATAAACACCACTATTTGGTTATTTAGTGCATAGTTTTTGAGATGATTGTTTTATGTTGTTTCGTACAGACTAATTTTATTAATCCATGAAATGAGTAGTCTCGTATAGTGGTGAGGATGCATTTTGGAGTAACTCATTGATTAACCCTTAATTAAATGCTTATCAAAATAACGAAATATTTGCCTTAGTCACTTGGTCAAGTTGTGTTTTAGCAGTAAAAATTACGCTACCATCATATCCCTTTTATTGATTTACTATAAGAATAAACTGTGGGACAAGTTACGATCAGGCAAGGTTTTTGCATAGGATTCTTATCTAAATTTTCCGTTAAGAGTGAAATCCTGATTAAACTGTGGCAATTGTGTTTGTCTTACTCATAAATCTCCATAAGTTCTGGCGAAGTTTCGGGAAACTTCAGTACGACACTTTATTAATGATTAAAACATTCAGTGTCCACAACTACAAAAATTACAGAAGTCTGTGACAAACATATTGATGTTCATAGTAGTAGAAAGTCTGATTTTTCCATTTAAACAATTAGATCAAACTGAATGAGTGGTTACATAGTTTCTTTAAAGTGTATATTGTCTTGTTTCTGGATTCATGGTGTTAGTCTTCTTTTCAAGAAAGGGTACTCGTGTTTATCAACCTACCTAATCACGGGGTTAGTTAATATGGCCCTATCCATACGGCGAATATACTGCGCAGTGGTCCGTCTGTATGACTATGAAATATGGTCTATGGATAGGCTTCAGGTTTTCAACCAGAGGTGCATTCGAAGCATTGAGTGAACAATATTATGGTTACTTATGGGGCACTATGAAGAGATATAAACTCGGTTGTCCCAGCTAAAGCAGCTGGGACATTTATTACGTACACCGAACCACTGCCTACCTCGACGGAAAATTTTAACTGGTATTGGAGTAGGAATAAAGCTAGGGGTTGCGAATCAGAATTTATTTATTAAATAAATGTTGTTACAAATGTTCACCTTAAAATAATCGAATGGGATTGTAAAAAGACTGAGAAAGTAAGGAGGGGTATAATCAAGTAAATAAATAAACAGAGTGAAAATAAAGGAAATCCAATGAAAAAAACCCACTTTTATAAAATCATTTTCTCAAGCTGTACATTCGTATTTATAGTTGTCAGGTAATTATATGAGTATAAGAGAGAGAGAGAGAGATTACACCATAAAGTGACCTGAGATTTAAAATATCAAAAGATTGCTTGGCGATCAAGAGGTTAGACAAGAATAAGCAGATGAGGATTATTTACGGGTCAGAAATATGAGAGGTGATTAGGAAAAAATAAAACATAAAGGTAATGGTAGAAATTAAATAATAATCGTGAAGAGTTATTCTCATCTAACTTCTCAATCGTTAAAGTCTTCTATCCTCTTATATTCCTATATTTATCAAAAAATTTCAAATACGAATATACGGCTTAAGAAAATGATTGTATCAGTTATTTTTTCGCTGAATTCTCTTCACTCTTATTCAATAACACAAAGGGTCGCTTTATTAACTAAATAAAAAACCAATGAAAGTAGTAAATAATCAGTGATAAGTCTTGCTACCGTTCGGTAAAAAACAACCAGAAAG